TCTTTCCCTTTTTAACCTTATAATGCAGCTGTATAGACTAGAAAAGTCAAAGGGGAACGGATACAGATGGAGTGCCCCAGACCTTTTACCTTTCTGTTTGTTTGTGTTCTTCACTCACCTATTAACTGTTACAGTCCTGGGGCGTTAAGAGAATAAGCTGTGGTGAGTCAGGTGTGGTAGCTGCGTGATGCCCTTGTAAATATTAGTTTAGTTTATGGTCTTGCTTGTAGGGGAATACCACTATCACCTAATGAAGTGTTTTCTAATTTTTTCCTATTGCTCTCAAATTAAATTGCTGTTAATTTTTATTTTTGACTTTTAAGAACGTTGTTATGAACTAGATCCATTGCCAGCATTCTCTTCTGCAAAGCTGAGAGGTATGTCTCTTGTCAGACTTAATTACCAAGTTTGGTATTTAGTAACAGCTGTCGAGTGAGTCTGGAATAGTCTCCATACAAACACCAGTTGATTAGAAAGCTAGAAATGGAACAATAAGACTCTTAACCAATGGTAAAGGAGGGCATAAGCAAATTTAATTTTTGACACTGATTAAAATTAAAATAGTTTGGAAATTTATTTGGTATATTTATTTCTTCAAGGAATATTGACCAGCAGTGCCACCGACTGGGGGCAACCAGAAGATGATACCTGCCAGATTACTTTTAGCTGCATTGTTTCTGTTTTTTAAATGAGTTGCTTATTTTTTTAAACTCCCATAAATTTCATAAGCAGGCCTAGAAAGACACCAGAAAATCAAGTTTTAAGTAAGAGATAAATAAGGAATTTTCAGCCCTCATTTGTAAGTTGGCTTACTTTGATGGCACAACAATGTTATATTCATATTTATCCTTAGGAATTGTGCAGAATTTTAGTTTAAATTGTATTTGAGTTATTGATCTGAATAAAATAATATTGAAAAGTTTTTTTAAATTATGGAAACTTGAATAGGAAAAGTATTTCTTAAATTTCTGTTACCAAAAACTGCTCGTTGACTTATGTCCACAAAAGAAAAGTAAAAAGAGACAGAGCTCACTTTTAACAAATTGGGTTAAGTATTCTTGGAAACTGTCAAATTATTTTGCATCTTTATTTTGTTTTGAAATATTTTACTTCCATTTATGTTTTTGATACTCTGAACTATTCGTATAAGCTTCATGAGGCCAGAGATCTGTTCACACTTGTATCTCAGGTTTATAGCACAGGGTAAAACCCTTAACAATCCTTTGTTGACTGTACATAGAGTATTAGACCTGATTGATAGTTCATAGGGAATTTATGAATTTTTTAATATATTCTCATCCTAAATTTAAAGTATAAATGAGTTAATTTCCTGCTTCAATTTGTGTGGATTCTATTTGTTTTACTCTGTGAATATAAAATATTTCAGGGAAACAGTATTTTGAACTTAGGGAGAAAGGGGAGGTTGAGGTCGGAAATAATAGCAAGAAAATTTTCACTGACATAACTAACATGAAATCATGGTTTTGAAAGCATACCTCCAACTGCATAAGAGCTCAGGGCAGCATAATATATAGCTGTTGGCAAATTTCATTTTGTTTATAACTTAAAACATTAAAATATCTGGTGAAATTCTTTTGCTGTATTATTATCAAATACTCAAAGCTCTTTAATATGGTAGAGTTTTTAGGGTGTGTCTTAATACAAATTACATAAGGAATTAGTTTACCCAGGATGGTTTATTAATAGCACCTAAGACAACAGCTAAATTGCAACACAAGCAGACTTTAAAGAGAATGAAGTTCCTAGAATAAACTTTTAAAAACCTGAGAATCTGCTTCCCAAGGTTCTTTAGTGCCCGTGAGTACTGCAGGGGGAGGTACTTTGAAAAAAATACTTGAGAATGGTAATATATTTTATACTTACTAATAGTAAATTTCTTAAAGTTGAGCTAGAAGGACTGATTGAATCCTGTGCTTCAGTGAAGCTGCAGATAAGAGTAAGCAGGGTCACCTAAAGATAGATTTACTTAGAGGTTTGGCTGCCTCTCTGGAACTGTTTAGCTTTGAGCAGATTTCCATACATGGAAAGAGCAACTGGAGAGACCGGGTACCTTGGTTGAGAGTGTGGATGACGTGCAGCAGGTGGTGGAGCAGTCACTGGATTCTCTATGAATGCTCTCCAGATGGCTGGTGTGTGAGGCCGAGGCCTTAGCACTCGGTGAAGTTTGAGACTAAGTGAAAAAGTTGTTTTCAATTAAAAGTTTACTGGAAACAATTTTAAAAGATTCATATATTTAGTGTTGTAGAACTTGTGGATTTATAATATGGTTTTATGAAATTTGTATAAATATTTTCTTTTAGTCCTTTAGAGGACATCTTGAGAAGAATTTATCAAATTAGACACTGTTAACATATTCATGTTTCAGAACCTCTTACCAAGCAGAATATTTCAAGTCAGGATGTGAAATTAATTATATCATTAGGATAATGAGTTTGTGCTTGACTTGCTATTTTTCCTGTAAGGTCTGTGGGTTGTCCTTAACTTCAAAACATAAAAGAAACACTTGCATGCCTCCTATTGTGAAAGGTCTGTGTTAGGAACCATAACAGATGTAAAGATGAATTAAGATAGCCCTTCCTGATCTCACGGAGCTTAAATGGTGATAAGAAATTATCACCATTTTTTGAATTCTTATCTATATGTGAGATACTGTACGTGTTTTTTAAGGGAATCACTGCATTTAATTCTCATAACTGTATGAGGTAAGTAATATTCCTGTTTGGTGAAAGAGGAAACCGAGCCTTACAAGAAATTAAATTGCTGGCCTAAGGTAACAGAAATTGTAAGTGGCAGAGACTAGAGCCCAAGCTTTCGGGCCTGGAAAACCAAACCACTGCTGTACACTTTAGTGTTTCACAAATAATTTAATCAGCAAAGCATAAAGTAAGTCTTAGAAGAGAGTTACAAGAGGTGGTAGAACTAGAAAAGGCTTCATGGAGAGGAAAAAAAACATAGGCTCTCTCTCTCTCTCTCTCTCTCTTTTTTTTTTCTTTCTTTCTTTCTGAATTTCTTGGGTAAAACGCAGCAAAGTCCAGAGAGATCTTGAAGAAGAAAGCAGTTACTGTGAAGAAAATTCCCAAGTTCTCTGGTGCACTCACCAGGAGGGTCTGTAAGAATTGAACTAGTTGATTAAACTAATTTAGAAATACGAGTTTCTGACTGATTCTGCTAGGTGTTTACTTAGTAGCAGTATATTAAAATTACAATTGACCTCATAGGACTGTTAATCTACAACCATTCTCCCTCCCCTACCCCGCAAGTTAGTTTTGGCCTAAAATTGATACAGGCTTCAGATTTCAAGGGTCTTTGTTTTCCTTTGGGTAAGATTCAGAAATTTATAATCAATCTCAATAGTTGCTTTATAATCAACATTCATTTTACAAAGTATAGATACTAGGTGGTTTTGGTTTTAAAATTATTTCTGTAAGTAATTTATATGGGCTAATATGTATTAATGACTCATTTAGAGTTATTAACGTGAGAGTTTAATTTAATAACGGTTTCAGTGCATTTTTATTGAGTAGAACTTATTTTCCCCCCAGTGGAAGCATCAGTTCATAGCAGTAATGCACACTGTACAGATAAGACAATTGAAGCTGCTGAAGCCCTGCTTCATATGGAATCTCCTACCTGCTTGAGAGATTCAAGAAGTCCTGGTATGTGAACTGTTCTTTCTTATATTAAACATATCACATCACTTTATGTATCTAGAAAGAAAGTTTTTGTTTTTGGTAATCCAAGGGGATTGTTGGTGTTCTCAAAGCCTATAATTCATAAATACCTGTGACAGCAGTAATTGATTTTTATTTGTCAATGTTCCCAAATCTTAAATACTTAATTTTCAAAATAAATGAAACAGAAACGCCCACTATAGACAGACAGGTGGCTGTTACATTGCTGTTTATACCATCATGTCTCATTTCCTTAACTCTGGGTAAATTATAAACCTTAAGAGAATGGCAGATGGGAGCATTTGCCACCTATGACCACGTTCAGTCCTTCCTTCAGTGATAGATGGGCAGTGACCCCAGGGAGCGCTCCCTGAGGGAGGGCGGGGGTAGCTTCCAGTGCTTCCTCACACTCCCTTCAGGCTGCATGTTTCCCTTTTTTTTTTTCTTGGCCCCCTTTTTAAAGACTGCCTTTGAGAGTCTTTTTGTCCTAATTTTAATGCCCAAAATGTTAATTTGACTTAATACAGTTAAGATTGGCCCTTCTTTTAGGGATTTTCAACATATGTTAAGATCAGCCGTACTTTTTAGTTAGAGTAGGAATCCTGTGTATTATTCAGGGACATGAGAAGAAGGTTAGGGCATATTGGTCAGTATTTTAATCCATGATAGTATGTATTAATTGAAATAGAAATGTCATATCCTGGTTATTCATGCACATTGAAAGGAAGCCAGAGCAACATTATTGTATGTAGTAGAAAATCTGTATGGACCATTTTAGTGACCCAAAATATCAGGGACTGTTCCAGTAAATAAAATTTTAAATATTGAAAGATGATATTCATTTGGCTGTAACGAGCAGGTTTTCTTTTCATATTTTGAAATGAACTGTGCTTACTTTTCCCCAAATGTACGTTTATTACTTTAATGTTATACCAGGTGCATGTTCTTCCTAGTTAGAGAATAATGATGAGTGAGTGGAAGGAAAGTAATTATTAACTCACTATTATACTCTTATTTTCAAATGTTTTCCCAATTGTCAAAATAATCCAGAGTCTTCCACAGTGAACTTGAAAGTGTCTCAAAGTGTGAAGCACGGGGGTTGACTACTTATGATCTCCCCCTTTACCCAGAAGGTTAACGTTTCCTTCAGGTCAATTTTCTTTGCATTTATTTACTTACATACTTTAGACCATATTGTATATTCAATAAGCCTTAACTTCAAGTTTTTATCCTGCTTTGATGAATTCTTAATAACCTCACCCTACTAAATATTGAATTGTCCGTATTGAGAGGCATTAATGGGGGTGGGAAATTTTAATTTTTCAACTTTTTTTTATAGTGGAAGTGTTTGTCCCTCCTTGTGTATCAACTCCAGAATTTATCCATGCTGCTATGAGGCCGGATGTCATTACAGAAACTGTAGTGGAGGTGTCAACTGAAGAATCTGAACCAATGGATACCTCTCCTCTTCCTACGTCACCAGATAGCCATGAACCAATGAAAAAGAAGAAAGGTAGAGTGTATTTATAAATTTCTGGGAAATTGGGTGAAATTTTTTCTGGTATCTTTCTCCCCCCATCACAGGACATAGGAAATATTATGCTGTAGATTTATGATTGATGTTATCTTAATTAGATATTCTCAAAGAATTAAGATTTTGTCTTTTAACATGTTCATACTGTTTAAAGGAGTTAGTGTTTGAGCCCTAAAAGTAGTTGCCTGCAGAATGAGATTATAATAGGTGCTTGATACACAGAAGGAAGGTCAGAGATTCACTGCCCATTTTTCTACTTTCTGATCCTTTTAGGTACTTGTTTACCTTAAAAAAAAAAACAAAAACAAAATTATTCCTGACTTTCTCTATTTTTCGTAATCTTACCTTCCTACTCTTTTTGTGGGCGTTAAAGTAAAAAGCCCAGTTTTCTCCCCCTTGTCTTTGGCCTTAAAACACCAAAGTTGCGCGTAGGGACTTGTGAGGGGAGTCAGCTCACCTTTGGGTAAAGAGCGTTTCCACTTGTTACTTGACGCCTGCTGAAGCTTGTGCTCGTCTGGTCCCAGTGGGTGAGGCACAAGGCTCCAGTCCATCTCCAGCATCCTGAGTGGGTTCTTTTTCTGTTTGAATCAACGGTAAAACTTGAAAGAAATGAAATTCTGTATAAATGGGTATGCATCTAATTCCACTTTCTTCCCTATCTCTTTCTTCACATTTTAGAATGGGGGAAAAGAAAAATCAAAGGCAACAATAAGGAAAAACTTGTTTTAGAAATAATGGTATTATCTTTGATTTATTAGGTAGCAGTGTTTCAAATTGCTGTGATGGTCACAGGTCTGTGCCTCATTTGCCGGTGAGGTACACAGTGGAGAATAAGACAGAGCACCTTCCCTCTTACAATATAGATAATATGTATTTGAGAAAGGCGTGAATGAGGGAGTTTAGAAGGAAGAATTACTTCCTGCTGTAAATGTTTAAAAACAAAAGGAATACATATAAATAACCCTGTTTACCCACTGCCCTCTATAGCCTTCGGCTGGTTGTATCTTATGGAAGCTATTACAAAATACTTAAGAAAATTTTAGATTTAAATGAAGAGGGAAAAGACTATGAAAAGCTGAGATCATTTAGGGAACCAAGACCTCTAGATAAACAGGTTGATAGGCCTATGTGGTGGTATGGTATAAACCAGGAAATAATTCGCCAATTTAATACTAATCTTATTACCTATTTGAAAATAGGTGGTCTTAATGAATGACAATTTAAAAATTACATGCAACATTGTTAACTATTCATTTGTGGTTAAGTACCTTTGGGACATACAAAGTTAGGTAGGTATTTTTTCATAGTAGAGGCTTCTTTTTATTTCCAGAGCCTTTAATATACTAACGTGCATTGTAAATCTCCAAGAGAAGACAGCATGCAGTTCTAAAAGTTAATTTGACTGTAGAACCGTTTTTCCTACTGATGAATAACCTGTTTCTCATGTAATACCATTTGGGAAACGCTGCTTTATAAGAAAATAAGCCTTTTGGGGCTAACCTTTCCATTAAGGAAGTTGGGCTTTTGTGATTGAATTTAGGAGACGGTGAAGACGTCAGTCTTATTAACTGACTGATTCGTACATACAAGTATTATTTAAATTGAGAAATTAAGCTCTGTTTTAACAAGGGAGACCAGTAAACTTTGTTTTAATTTTTGCCAAAGCATACGTCTTAATGAAATCCTATTCTAATCCTAGAATATAATAACTATGCTTTTTGACATATAAATTAAGGCACTTTAATTTAGCTCTAGATAATCCTTGCTAATGAAGAGTAGAGACATCAGAAATACCAGATGTTAGGACAGATCACCAAATCAGTAATAGTATATGTAATATTCCCAGTCTCTTGAGGCTTCCCCTCACCTGCCAGCATTCATCCGTCAGGGCTGAGGGTTGAATACAACACATTTCAGGCTTAAGCTTTCTTTACTGTAGAGAAGTATAGCTCTTGCTGTTCTGTTCATGGTGGATGCCAGTCTCTCTGCGAGAGCCTTATGGCAGAAGTGAGGGGAAACAGAAGGAAGGGCGCAGACATCTACTAGACCTACGAACTAATCGCTTGCAAGATTTTTTATCCTTGTAATGTAACTGCACGTTGAGGTGGGGAAATTTATGCTGAAATTCTGGTGAATTGATTGGCTCAGAGCAGTAGAGAGTGTTTAAAATAATATTTTTTACTTTTCCTCATTTGAGCTCAAAGGGCTTCGCAGATTATCAGATCCTCTGCAATCGGTAGGTAAAGCTTTTTCTAACAATTCTGTAGAACAGAAAACAAAAGTTTGTACTAGAATTTGTTTCCATTGCTACATTATTGGAAAAGGTTAGCAAATTGAGGCTCTGACCATGTAAATAATGGGTTAGTAGTGCCTGACTTGCCATGTACGTTGACATTACGATCCACTAACTGCTGTAATCTAAAATTGCAGAAGTGCTTTTCATGTTCTTTTAAAAGCAACTTTTATATACACTGAATATATTAATCCACAGATTAGTATCCAGTTTCATGAATAATGTGTTATCAAAAAGCCTGCTATCATGCTTCTTTTTCCTGTTTCAACGTGTGGTTTCAATATCTTTTATTTCCAGTTGGCCGTAAACCAAAGACCCAGCAGTCGCCAATTTCCAATGGGTCTCCTGAGTTAGGTATAAAGAAGAAACCCAGAGAAGGAAAAGGTAATTTGGGGAGGGCTGTTTTGTAGGTGAGATGGTGTTTTTTTTATTCAAGTACATTTGTAGGAAAATTACTTCTAGTACATGCACATGTGAGACTACTGTCTTTGCTAGTAGTTCTTAATCAGGGCTGTATGAGCATCACATGTGGAGCTTTTCCAAACTATCTATGCCTGGTCCTTAACCCCACTGAGATAAAACTGCAGGGAGTGGAGGTGGGCAAGCGTTTGAATTTGGAAAAGGCCCTAACTGCAGTCTGATACACAGCTGTATTAAGAGCTGTTGTTCTGGAGGATGTGTGTATGTGTAACGGCAGGCATCCTCATGGAGAGTCACTTAGAATTGAGAAAGGTTTACAAAACTAAGACTTCATTTCTCCATACTCTCTTAACTGATAGAAGCAAGGTGAATTTAGCTTTTCTTAACTGATTCAATGCAAGGTGAATTTAGTTTTCCAACCAGCAGATTTCAGTCATGTCAGTAAGGATCTTAGAACAAAAATTTAACATGTTTGCTTTAGAGTTTGTATATTCTCATTAAGGACAAAAGTAGCAATAAGCCTTCTACATTCTCTGCTGTTGTAATTTGTTGTGTAAGTTGATTTCAAGTGATCTTAGTAAGGGTTTTAGGTGTGTTCTGATAATCTGATAACCAAAATTTTACCACTTCCATGAATGTTTTCAATAGTTGGATACATTTTGGATTCGTATATTCAAATTTATTCCATCCTCAACGGGTAGTCTGATATATCTCATTTTAAATAATTAAAGCAAAAATTAAATCTCTAGTAAAAAAAAAAAAAAATTAAGTCTAGTAAGCCTACCAAGAAATTTAGACCAAAAAAAAAAAAAAAATCCAGTTACAGTAAACCCTTATTTATTTAGGAACTGTTTATTCAATTTGGGACAGATTTAGGATACTTTTATTTTCTTCTGTGTCTTTGGTTGTTTTACATTTCTGGTATCTTAGGTTTTATCTTTTAATTTATATTGAAAACTTTAAAACTTACATAATAGTAGTATTATAAAGTTGAACTGTAAATATACAATTATTACTTTAAAAAATTATTTACTTATTTATTTTTGGCTGCGTTGGGTCTTCGTTGCTGTGCGTGGGCTTTCTCTAGTTGCGGCGCGTGGGCTTCTCATTGCGGTGGCTTCTCTTGTTGCGGAGCACCGGCTCTAGGTGTGCGGGCCTCAGTAGTTGTGGCTCGCGGGCTCTAGGGTGCAGGCTCAGTAGTTGTGGCGCACGGGCTTAGTTGCTCCATGGCGTGTGGGATCTTCCCGGACCAGGGTTCGAACCTGTGTCCCTTGCATTGGCAGGCGGATTCTTAACCACTGCGCCACCAGGGAGGTCCCAGTTATTACTTTTTAAAAAATTATTCCCATCATCAGTGGCGTCTCTTGTATTCAAAGACCTTACGTTTAAAACTGGCAAAAAATTTTGTGATAACCTATTTTGGCCAGTCAAAATCACCTTTCATGAAAATTTCAGTTTTGTATTATTAAACTTGAGGTAGCCTGTTGAAATGTGAAGATTAAAGTGATTACAGTCACCCTTGGATTAAAAATCCAGTCAGTGTTTCCTCTTCTGCAAAATTATGACGATAATGTCTGCATAGACTTAGTGAACTGCCTTGTCTGATAAAGAAGTCTTCCCTTTCGAATTCTGTTTTCCTTAAAACCAGAAATAGAATTGTTAATTTTAACTTGGGGAAGGGAACTGGGGCGAAGCATTTAAAGACAACCTAAAGAATGTTGCTGAGTCTGATTAATTCAGCAGATACACAAGTGCTCAAATCCCTGCTGTGTGCAAGCCACTGTCTGCTGTACAAAAGCTTATTCCAGAATAAGTTCTTAGAATCTTTAGGTCATAAAATAAAAATGCCCCAGATACATGTCTTGATTCAGTTGAGAGTGATGTAGTTGAAAGTTATGCACGGTTTAATACTAAGAGTTTTTAGGTATTGATGCTGATGTACAAATGTAACATAGTAAAGTTGAAGAGATACAAATAACATTGTAAAGTTGAAGGTTGCTTTTTTAGAGTCAAGAGATGCACACGGGGCTCAACTATGGGTTAATAGATTGACTGAATTTTCAGGGAAATACAGGATGAAAATGAAATGCTAGAGGAGAAAAACATCAGCGTTTCGATTGAGTAGTAGCAGTGGCTTGATGTGGAAGCCTCCCACCCTCAAGGTTCTTCTCATGTAGCCCGTAACTTGGATCTGGATTTGAGGCTAGTAAAGGGTTATTGAGTAGGAGCCTGGAGATGACCTGGTGGCTCACTGGTGGCATATGTATTCTGATCCTCTTCTCAGGACTCTCTTCTGTTCTTTCATCAATTTAAGAACCTCTGCACCTAGAGGCTTACAAAGGGAATAAAAGAAAAACAGCAGCCTGTTTTGAGTCTTCCAGTCTCTTCTCATAGCCACTGCCCACTACTCTTCCCCAACCTTCCAAGAAAAGAAAGTGATGCTCTCTTCCCTTTGGGACTAAGTTTCTTATTTTACCTACCCAGAGTCCTTCCTTTCCTTCTATGCAAATCTTAGCCATCTTCCAAGACTTGATAGTGTCTAACAATCCACTTTATTTTCACTCCTGAAATCTCAGACATTATTTTCTATCATTCATTTGAAATATAATTGTGCCTGGCCTTATGTTATAGCTTATATTGTTTCAAACTATTGTTTCTTTCTTGAATTGTTGTTATTTACTAGACAACACAATTTGACACTGTGCAAATGATTGCCGACCTAGTCAAGTATTTCATGACAGACTCTCCGTACATTTGTGCTTCACCAGTGGTAAATTAATTGATTTTTTTATCCAGCATAAGTAAATATTTGCTTTTAATTATGTTAATGAATCTTTAATCAATGTCTATGATTGTTTTCAAAGGAAACACAACCTATTTGTGGGAGTTTCTTTTAGATCTACTTCAAGATAAAAATACTTGTCCCCGGTATATTAAGTGGACTCAGAGAGAAAAAGGCATATTCAAGCTTGTGGATTCAAAGGCTGTCTCTAAGCTTTGGGGAAAGCATAAGAACAAGCCAGACATGAACTATGAAACTATGGGACGAGCTCTGAGGTAAGAACCCAAAAGAAAGTTTTCAAACAAAACTTACATATCTCTTAATATTGTCTATTAACTAAAGAGAAGCTGTTAAAATCCCTTATATGTTACAGCTTGTAATTTGGGGGGGGGATTTTCTAGAGGAGCTTCTTGTATTTGGAGGCAGGTGGGGAGACAGGAGTTTGGTCTAGACGGCTAAAATTTCAACACCATTGGAAAATCCATTTTTGTGGGAAATGTGCACCTTTCAGAAAGTTAAACCCAAACAAAATACAGTTTCCAAATTGTGAATTTGCTCTTTAGTTCCTGCAAACTTATTATAATGGATTTATCTTGATATTAAACTTTCTCTTAAGTTTTGTCAGTTGGAGGAACCCACATAACTTTGTTATGCACCTAGCTTATTCTAATTAAGGGTATTTTGTAAATGAACATAGTTTAGTGACAGTATTCATATATACCACAGATTCACTTCTATTAAGCACGGCTTAGGTAATTTTTCCACGTAACATCAGATTGTTTTTATAACCTATGTAAATCAGAACTAAATTTTTACCAGTGTCTGTAAAATACAGTCGTCCCTCAGTATCTGAGGGGGATTGGTTCCAGGACCCCCCGCAGATAACCAAAATCCATGGATGCTCAGATCCCTTCTATAAAGTGGGGTAGTGCTTGCCTATAACCCACCTACATCCCCTGTATACTTGAAATCATCTCTAGATTACATGTAATACCTAACACAGGGTAAATGCTGTATAAACAGTTGCTGTCACCTGGCAAATTCAAGTTTTGCTATTTTGTGGAATTCTTTTTTCCCCGAGTATTTTCGATCCATGGGTTAGTTAAATCCATGGATGAGGAGCCCAGGGATGTGGAGGGCCAGCTGTACAGTAATATATTCTGTATTTAGGTTAAATTACTTCCTTTAAGAATGAGCTTTTAGCTGCTTTACAGATCTCAAGGTTATATAAGACCGGTGGCACCAGGTTCTAATTCCATTCCTACTTCAAATTCTTAGCCTTTTGAACAATCCAGGCAGTATGAGTTCCTCCTTATCTCTTACTAGAATCAGTGAATGTTTCTGTTAGCATCTCTTCTACATGGTGTTTTTGTTGGGGGGTAGGGAGGTGGGGAGAACAAATGTAATATACTTGATTTATTTAGTACCTTTTCCTGACAGATATTATTACCAAAGGGGTATTCTCGCAAAGGTTGAAGGACAGAGGCTTGTATATCAGTTCAAGGATATGCCCAAGAACATAGTGGTCATAGATGATGACAAAAGTGAAACCTGTAATGAAGATTTAGCAGCAGCTGCTGATGAAAAATCATTAGAACGAGTGTCACTGTCTGCAGAAAGTCTCTTGAAAGCAGCAACTTCTGTGCGTGGTGGGAAAAACTCATCTCCTCTAAACTGCTCCAAAGCAGAGAAGGGTGTAGCTAGAGTTGTGAACATCACTCCGCCTGGTCATGATGCTTCGTCCAGGTCTCCTACTACTACCGCATCTGTATCAGCAACAGCAGCTCCAAGGTAAGTGAGGGAAACCATTATTTGTAACGGGTTTAATTTTTAGAAAACTCTTTGGCAGAAATGATATGTTCCTTTTTTTAATATTTGCATTCTAAGAACTCACTGTTGTCAGGACTTTGAAAAGCGCTTGGCATTTTTAAATGTATTTTGTTGTTGTTGTTGAAGTAGACGTCTCCTCTAACCTGAATGGATTTTTAGGGTCTTACGGATGGAATTTAATGTAGGCTTTAGTTAGTTTGTTTGTTTTATTTATTCATTTTTGGCTGTGTTGGGTCTTCGTTTCTGTGCGAGGGCTTTCTCTAGTTGCGGCGAGCGGGGGCCACTCTTCATCGCGGTGCACGGGCCTCTCACTGTTGTGGCCTCTCCCGTTGCAGAGCACAGGCTCTAAACACGCAGGCTCAGTAGTTGTGGCTCGCGGCATGTGGGATCTTCCCGGACCAGGGCACGAACCCATGTCCCCTGCATTGGCAGGTGGACTCTCAACCACTGCACCACCAGGGAAGCCCTAGGCTTTAGTTTTTAAAATATATTCGTCTCATGGTATTTCATACTCTAAACTTAAAGGGGTTTTCAGTACATCTGTAAAATTTGGGAGCACTAGTTTTTATATGTTTTGGATTTGCATTCATCTTTTTGCTCAAGAGACCTATTTTATAGTTTAACATGAAATATAATCAACTTTATTTTTTACCTCTACTAGGACAGTTCGCGTGGCAATGCAAGTGCCTGTTGTAATGACATCGTTGGGGCAGAAAATTTCAACTGTGGCCGTTCAGTCAGTTAATGCAGGTGCACCACTGATAACCAGCAGTAGCCCAACAACAGCGGCCTCTCCGAAGGTAGTGATTCAGACAATCCCTACTGTGATGCCAGCCTCCACTGAAAATGCAGACAAAATCACCATGCAGCCTGCCAAAATTATTACCATCCCAGCTACACAGCTCGCACAGTGTCAGCTGCAGACAAAATCAAACCTGCCTGGATCAGGAAGCATTAACATTGTTGGAACGCCACTGGCGGTGAGAGCGCTCACCCCGGTTTCAATAGCCCACGGCGCGCCTGTCATGAGGCTGGCAGTGCCGCCTCAACAGGCATCTGGCCAGACTCCTCCCCGAGTTATCAGCGCCGTCATAAAAGGGCCAGAGGTTAAATCGGAAGCAGTGGCCAAAAAGCAGGAACATGATGTGAAAACTTTGCAGCTGGTACAGGAAGAAAAACCGGCAGATGGAAATAAGACAGTGACCCACGTAGTGGTTGTCAGTGCGCCTTCAGCTCTTGCCCTTCCCGTAACTATGAAAACGGAGGGACTGGTGACATGTGAGAAATAAAAGAGCAGCTCTCCCATGGGCGCTAGAATGTTAGTGCTAGTCCTGACGTTAAGCATTTGCAAGGATGTCATCAAGAGAAGTCAGAAGACTTTAAAACATTTTTAATGCATATAAGAAAACAATCAGACTTACTGGAAATAAATTACCTATCCCATGTTTCAGTGGGAAGTGAACTACATGTTGAGACGCTGACAGAAAACTGCCTCTTACAGTAGGAAACAACTGAACCCGTCAATAAGAAGGATTGAAAGGGACCAAGCAACTCACTACAATATCAAGTTACACTAAGACTTGGAACACTAACATTCTGTAAGAGGTTATATAGTTTTCAGTGGGGAGGGATTGGGATGGGTGATCTCACTGTTACATATAGCAATTTTTGATGCATTTTATATGCATACCAGCAATTATTACTGTGTTCACACAGAACTCACTTAACTGGTGCTATGTGAAGACTGCTAATATAGGTATTTTAGAATGTGAATTGAAGAATGGATCCAAAAGCTTCAGAAAGAGAGCAAAAACGATCTAGTGTGATTTTTTTTTTTTTTTTTTTTTTTTAATCATATAGCTTAAGCTGAAAACAAAGGCCTTAGACTAATTTTCGGTTTTCTTTATTGAAATAAGCTAATGGCTTGTTTGTGTAAAGCTTTTTTATTAAAAGAAAAATTTTAAAAATCTTGTACCTAGCACAGTATTGTTATAGAATATACATGTAACATTTTATATGGTAGTTTAAGTCTGTCAGTTTCTTAATTGTGGACAAATTAACAGTTGGCTCCGGCCTTCCTTTTTGCTGTAAACGTGCCTGTGTCTCTCACTTCGCCCTGGCATCTGCGCAGACATAATCCGTTTCAGTTCTACTGTCACTTGGAAGTTAAGGCTCAGCATGAATTTTTGTCAGGTAGCTCTAATGCCTGGCGTTTTCTTTCTTCCTTTCTTTTTTTATTTTTTTTTTTTATTTTTTTAGTTGAAGTTTAAGGGGAAAAAGTACCAGTGTTCAGATTTGAACTATAATAGTTTGTATATTCAACATTTGAAGTATATTCTATTTTGTTGTACTCTTGTTTCAAAGTGTATTCAAGTAGGTTTTCTGAAATATAGAAATGAAATTTATCTCGTCTCTGGTGATATTTATAACAATATTCAAAAGCTACTATAAACATACTGTTTTAGTTACGAAGTAACAGAAGTCCTATTTCTCCTTCCCAACTACTGCGTGAAGAAATTCTACTTCTGTTTTGTTCCATTACATTAATATTTAGCAAGTAATCTGCATGTTTCCACTTCCTTTCTAATTACTATCATGTAATTATTATAATGTTCTACTTACATAATGAATTTATTATTTTAATGTTGGCCACACTTAATTTATATTTCAGATCAGACCATTTGTTTCTCATTCAGACCTTTTGAGGGTGAGGAAGAACGAATAATACTCGAGCCCTCGTACAAATTAGGAAGTGGAGGGACCACGGGAACGTAATTTCACACCAAACTAGGTCCTGTGACTCCACACTTTAATGCTCTTTCTACTACAAAGAAAAGTTGTCTATTTTTACATCTTTCAGAAATTTAACATCTTTCAGATTTTTACATCTTTCAGAAATTTACATCTTTCCGAAATTTAAATAAACCGATACTTAATATTTTGTGGCCTTTAATTGCGCTTTTGGTCAGACACTACTTAGGTCGACAAAGATTTTTATAACAGCTCCTTTGTAACCTTTTATCTTTTCCATAAACGTACTTGACAGTACCTTTTAATAAAAGCTCAGAGAAGAACTCACCTGATTCTTATCCCATCTGGGGGTTAATCTCAAATTCTACCTCCTTTAAAAACATTTCCTAAATATTTCAGCTTTCAAAATCTGTATCATATGCCTTGACGCTTAACTGGTATTGTCTTTATTGCACTGAAGTTTCATTGAGTTACGTCCCCCATAATCCTCTTCTAGGGCAAAGGTTGTAACTTGTGTCATGCCTACACCCCTCCCCAAATGCTGAGCATTTTAGGCACTTGGACATTTATGGATTTTGGTAATAATGTATTTGCTACGAATCTAAATCACATGGAGGATAACTAATGAAACATTTAAAATGAGCAGTTCTTTCTGCCTGTGCTGTACTACTGATGATTGGTTTCAGTTAGGTTAAGCCAAGGCTACTTGCTTACCTCCACCACTCTAACCTGAAAATTTTTGGTGTCTCTTTCAGCATAAGTTCACCTAAGGTCTAGATTTAGAAATACATGTTGACAGTATATACCGATCAGAGTGTTTCTTCTGATTGGACTTAGCAGCGGTATGGCATTTAATCGTAACCCTTCCAACTGTTAGTCATTATAACTTACATTTGCTTTTTGTGTCCAGTGTATCAGAGAAGAACCACATAACAATGACTTGATGCGGCTACATTTTCCAGTCTGGCCAGGCTTTTGAACAGTGATCAGCAGTCGGCCCACTTATTCCTTGGGTCGCCTTCCAGCAGCAGTCCCAGCCTTTTCGCCACCACCCTGCTTACCAAATGGCCAGTATACCTCTTCAGAGAGAACACTGAGGTCATGAGCTGTGAACTCCGTTTCTGGACCCCTTGCTGCAAGAGCCATCTACGTATTCCAGCCTCCATCCTTAACAGACAGCCATCTCGGGAAGGAGGCAGCTGTGCCTCCCTCCTGTACTCACCGTCTTCTCCCCTTTCACACCTCCTTGGTTGCCTTGTTCCAACAGCCCGTATTCTTCAGAAGCTTGCAGTCAGTTCTGCTTGGAGACAATTCCCACTGGGGTCTCCAGCAACCCAACGGTCACATCAAACAGATGCTTCAGTTTTTCATGTGATCGGCCTACTTCTTAAAATTCCCCTTTGATTTCCCATGACACCCTCCTTCTGCTTTACTTCCTGCCTGACCAACTCTACTTTCTTAGTCTACTTTGTTTTCCTTCAGCGTTCCCATTTAAAGGTAGTACTTACCATGGGGCTCTTTTCCTCGTAGTTACATTTACTATTACGATTTTGCTTCAACATAACTGTTAGATAACCTCATCCACGCATGTGGTTTTTACTACCAAATCTATTGTTCTAGGCTAGACTGAAAGATGGGTTTAATTACCTGCCGGCTGTTTCCTCCTGAGTGTCCAATGGAACTGTCCTCTCTCGAAAATCTGTTCCTCTTGGCTTAACAAACGACACTGCGTGAAGGCCCTTCTAGACCCTCTGCTTCCTACACGCAGCCTTCTACCAAGTCCTGTTGATGGTACCTTCTAAACAGCTCCCTTTCCCATCCTCCCTACCTTACTGCTTTGTCTTCTCAAGCCTCTCTGTAGTCCGTCTCCCGTGCTACCAGATGAGAGCTTTCTAAAATGTGTACTTCCGTCACTTCCTTGCGACTGCTTTAAATTCTTCAGCGGCATCTCTTGCTAAAAAGATAAATATCCAAAGCATGAAACTCTTCATTAAAGTCCTTTGACCTGGCACCTGCCTATGTTCCCAAGCCTTACTCTCTGGCCACCCCCGTTTTGGGCATCTCCGGGCCACGGACATATTGACATGTATTTCTCCCAAATATTTTAGGCACCCCATACCTCGTTGGGCCATGCCACCGATGGCTTCTCTCTGGACCGCTTTTCCTTCCTTCACCTCGATTTGAGTTGCAGGTGACAGACATCAAAATATTTCTGAAATAAATAGGCTTGGAAACCGTTCAGGGTGGGGAGTGGTCTTAACTCTGAGTGAATTCTGAGTAAAAGATTGAAAAGCATCAAGTATATAAAGACAACACAGGCCAGGGGAGAGGAAGAGTAACCCAGCAATGGAGACCAGGGACTATTCACGATTAACAGGACAGCTGAGGTCAAGATAACGGTGGGCAACAGTATCACGTGTACCAGGAAGGGCCAAGCAAATAAGAAGCCACCAACATTGATACAGGGACAAGAGAGGGGCAGTTCCAGTAAGGGGTTGGCCGTGAAACCAGGATGTAAGGGACAACGGTGCCGGGTTCGTTACCAGCCACTCGCCTCTGACACCTGGCGTGCTTCAGAGAGTGCGTCTCTGATCACTGTATACGAACAAGTCACGTTTAACGATAACAAAAACAAAATTTGGGCTTTTACGTACAAAGCATCCCGTGATCCTTTCAGCCCCCTGGTCTATCTTACGGGAGAGCATTACAGAGCATATTTTTGGGAGGCAAGAGGAACCCTACTTTTAGCTCCACAGCCAACACAGCAAGTTCACAGTGCAGGTCCTTTGTTGGTTGTGGTTCATCTGTCCTTTAGTCCCTTGGTTATGTCGTCGTCCTCCACAGTTGTAACCTATTCTGTGTGGACTCGGTGCACAGTGCCGCCAGTCCTTGTGAGAATAAGATACGCTTCCCCCTTTGCAAGTGCACTGACTCGCCTCCTGCATCACACCGAGAAACCTCTGAAAAACAAGTGCAGCAGGGAGACTCATGGGCATACTTCCTTTCACTGTGCGGCACTCTGCAGACGCTTTGTTTTATACAAATGGAAGGTCTGCGGCAACACTGCTGTCAAGCGAGTCTATCGGCGCCCTTATTCCAATAGCATTTGCTCACTTCGTGTCTGTGTCTTTGGTAACGCTCACGGTATTTCAAACCCTCCAAAAAAGATTATGGCTTACTGAAGGGTCAGAGGATGGCTAGATTTTTTTTTTAGCAATAAAGTATTCTTCAATTAAGGTATATACACTGCCTTTTTTTGGACATAATGTTATCGCACACTTAGTAGACTATAGTATCGTCACTTTTATACGCACTGGGACACCAAAAATTCATGTCTTGCTTTATTGCGATACTCATTCTGGTGGTCTGGAGCTGAACCCCCAGTGTCTCTGAGGTATGCCGTATTTGACTGGACACGAATCTCCTTCACTTTTTATGCATCCATAACTATCTTTTTTAACACTGCACCTCAGCAGTTATGCTGTGGGTTCAGGACTTATAAATGATATATCACAACTTCCCAAGTGAGAACGTACAAACATGAGTATTTAATGCAAAATGCTCCATGTCAAAACCAAACTATAAATAGACTGTAAACTAAGGGCAGAGTTGTCTTCTCCCAGAATATCGTTTCCTCCCATCCTATTGTATGTTTAACTTTTAGAAAATTTTGTCTGAAAGATTTTAGTGACGTGATACTGTCGTAAAAGGTGGATACTAAACCGTTCTACAGGATCTGCAAATTATTTGGATTGTAGGACATGAAATCACTGGAATACTGTGGTAACTTCGCTGCACATTAGATCACCTGGGAAGATTTTAAAATCCTGTTGCGCAGGTCACATCCCATACCAGTTAAATTACCATGTGTGGGGCTTCCCTGGTGGCACAGTGGTTAAGAATCCGCCTGCCAATGCAGGGGACACGGGTTCAAGCCCCGGTCCGGGAAGATCCCACATGCCGTGGAGCAACTAAGCCCGTGCGCCACAGCTACTGAGCCTGCGCTCTGGAGCCCGCACGCCACAACTATGGAGCCTGCGCGCCTAGGGCCCGTGCTCCGCAACAAGAGAAGCCACCGCAATGAGAAGCCCGCGCACCGCAACGAAGAGTAGACCCCGCTCGCTGTAACTAGAGAGAAAGCCCGCGCACAGCAACCAAGACCCAACGCAGCCAAAAATGAAAAATTAAAAAGAAAATTACAATGTGTGGGAATAGGAGCCGGGCATCAGTATTTTTAAATTATCTCGGTGTGATTTCACCACGCAGCCAGGTTTGGGAACCACTGCCATCCAGATGCAGTAAGGAAAGTTTTACACTTAGAGATGTCTTAATCTAAGCTTTTCTAAAATGTTCAATAGAAAAATGGTAGTTTGAGATATACCTATTAACTGTTACACATGGCTTTTAAAAAAACCTACATACTGGGCTTCCCTGGTGGCACAGTGGTTGAGAGTCCGCCTGCCGATGCAGGGGACACGGGTTCGTGCCCCGGTCCGGGAGGATCCCACATGCCGCGGAGCGGCTGGGCCCGTGAGCCATGGCCGCTGAGCCTGCGCGTCCGGAGCTTGTGCTCCGCAACGGGAGAGGCCACAACAGTGAGGCCTGCGTATCGCAAAAAACCAAAAAACAAACCAAAAAAACCCTGCATACTGTATATCTCATTGATTCTAAAGCCTTTTTCTCATATTTAATCTCTTAAATTAGGATGAATCTTTTAAAGTCTTATGAAACAGTACACTGTGTTAATGTGCCTTGTCCCTTAAAAAAAATTACTTTCGGGAAGCTATATATTAATGCCACC